ATTACGTTAACGATTTATGTAACTACCACAGTATTTATTGAAGAAAAGAATATCATAAAATATTACCAGTAAACCCGAATGAGCGGTATTTTCTATTTTGTATTAAGCGAGTTTCCTTGTGAATAGAAGACTGGACCCATAATTATGCTGAATACCGATTCATTTCTAGTAGAAAAGTCTAATGAATGTTATACAAAAGAAGTAATTGCCCACGTCAGCTCGTTGGCTTATATCTATATTGGACGGAGGACAATGAGGTACAGAAACCTCATTTAAATCACTTTCGTTTTTATCTTAGCTCGCTTTGTCTGTTACAGTTAGCAAACTTATGACACATTACACATTAGGCATGTACATACCTAATTACTTCCTTGGAAACTCAAATGCAAAAGTTTTATTTTTCTAGTATTCATAGAATTACTTGAAAATTAATACTTAATTTACAAATAAAATTTTAGTACATTATTTCATTCTTCACTTCCACAAATTATATTTACGGGAGTTAGCGCGCTTATGATATACATACGCGCTTACATACCTTCAAAATGTCTAACGTTTCGACCAGTTAAAACCGGCCGTGGTCACAGCCTACGACCACGGTATTCTTTAGTAGTTTTGAACTCCAAACACCTATTGAGTGAATACTCAATAGATGTTTGGAGTTCAAAACTACACACATCAAGTTCGGAAAAAAATTAAGATACAATTTTTTTTCAGACAGTGACTTGATAGGCATTCTTATTTATTATAGTAAAAACTTGTATGTTTTCGAAAAATAAATACACATCAGAATTATATCATTGTATAATAAAATGTAAAAGTGCAAGGAGCAGAAACTTTATTGATCGTATCGATATCTCTATTCAAAATCTCGTGTTTTGTTCATTTATATTTTACGTTTTGTCGTAAAATGTTTAAAATAACAAAGTTTACTATGTATCTCATAAAACGCTTACAAACTAGCATACTGAGCAGTCCACTTTATATTGATATATTTGTTTATTATCTAGATGTATATTATGTATTTTTTTAATAAAATGAAATATCAGTAACGTGTAAATCAATTTCTACTAGAACCTTGATTACGTTTACATACACTAAACAACACGTAGAGCCTTTCTAAAACCCGATTTCTGTGTATAGGTGAATGAACTCGGAATATCGAATCAACCACGGTGTAATTTTTTAACTTTTTGCCTAGGTAAGTATATCTCCATTTCTTTTTCTAACCAAAGTAACTAATAATAAAATGTCCTATTTATCGTAGTACAGATATTCACTATGCATGAATTGGAATCAATAAATTACGTGACACCTATGTGGTTTCGCATTTTTAAGGTTCGGTTCCTCAAAAATGAGGAGCCCTTAAAGGATAACTTTATCGTCTAATCGAAAACTTAAATGTTATTACACAATTTCATTATTTAAAATTTTGATTAATTAACCAAAGTGGCGTGACTGCTGCTCTCATGTTGGAGTGATCATGAATGAGTGGAGTGATTAATAAAGTAATTATATATAGAAACATTGAACTTATCGGTTGGTATCTACCTCTTTTATTAATTTTACCCGTCAATTGAGGCGTAAATTACCCGGTGATTTTAAAATATTTTAAGTGCGATATTTCGAGCGTCCGGTTTCTCTCTCTCTCTCTGTCAGATTGAGGATATTAGGAAGGCTTCTATCATATTATTGTACTGTGTAGTTAATTGACTACTGTATGTGGCTAAATTACAGCGGATGTTATTTGCAGTCTGTAGCCAGAGTACCAAGTGTTATTTATATCTATTTTGATGCCTTAATCACTCCACCGATCATCATATTATTTCACATACACGTTGATAACGTAGGTACCTAGTACTTACTCGTACGTACGAAATTGAGAAAAGAACGCAAGGAGCCTTTCATCCAGAATTCCTCTTTCTATTTAAAAAAAAAACTTTTAAAGTGCATTTTTCAATTACACTTATGAGTAACATAGACAATAATGTTATGCTGAGGATCTAAAAATGTTCTTAGAATTACACTAGAATTGTTTGCTACTTCCCATAGAAAGATACATAAACAAAATATTTCAAGTAAATCGTTGTTGACAGTCTGTACCAACATACAGTACACAATAAAACGATGTATCTTTGTTTACGAGTTCTACGATATACAATTGTTAACATCCCGGGAATGCTCGAGACATAGAAGCAGAACACTACGATACGACTATACGACCCAACTAATCCGGGACTGTGGTATATGACCGCGATCGCCTTAGATACAACTACACTATTAGTAACGTAATCCTGCTCCCAAGGATGTGTTAACAACTAACGTATGAGTAAATATTAAAGTTTTCTACATTTATAACCAAAAATACATATTAAGCTATTAAACGAGAGAAATTTTGACTTTGTGATCATTATGTCATATTTCTTTGTCTTTCAAAATTAAAATCTGTGGTAGGTATCAAATGTATCAGTCATGAAGCTGAATGCCTGTTTCGATATATTACACTAACAAAAGGGCGAAAGCTTGTGAGTGTGAGTGTATGCGTGTGTGTTATTTTTTGACGATAGTAGGCCACTTTTCAAAAATGTAGGGTTCCCGTGGGATGAGCAAGATATTGAATTGTATCTAATAAACCGCGGGTAATCAATCATATGGAGAAGAACAGGCAAGACAGTCCATGGACAGTCTCTTTGTTACAAAAGCCTATCACTATCATTATAAGTGACAGTAGTATCAGTATTTCAATAATCTTAAAATACATTTCTAGTATACAAATATCAGTACATTAGGTATTATATAACATTGCTTTTGTTCTTATTTTATTTTAACTAAGTGTATAATTTCTTTAAAGTAGGTTTCTTTACTCGATAACTTAATGTCTAAACCCACACTAAAGTTTAAATAGATATGTTACAATAGGTGACATATTTATTGTCTCGATATATGCTTTGTCAAGCTAATATCCATTTATATTGTTAAGCAAATATCCATTTATATTCTGTCACCAAAGCTACAATATTTATTTATAACCATCATTTAGAAAGGTCAATTTTTTAAATTACTAGTATGCATGGCAAAATGATCACTCCTTAAAATTTTGTTTATGCTTATATTTACACTAATTTGAATGAGACCCAAACCTCCTTTTTAAGGAGAGTCCTATGACCAGCAGTGGATTGTTAAAGGCTGTTGATAATTATGAATACATCATTTTGATATTTGATATGACTATCTTTTCATATTACATTCACTACTAGAGTGCATCATATACATATATAATATAGGTATACTTATAGATTAATACAACTCTATCTAACCAGACAACTATTGTGGTACTAGTAATATATGTATATATATATATATATATATACAGACTGTCTTTATTACATAGTTGTGAGAATTGAAATTGTTAGCTTTACTGCCCATAACATACTAAGTACAAATATCTATTAATAAACCCTGGTCAGGTTAATGATATTAAAACAATGTATACACTACCAGGCAAACTATACTTTTATAACCACCATAAAATATATTGTATTATTAGACTTACACTGTATCAAATGGAAATAGCCGGCCCACATGCTCATACACGGAACCAGTTTATGCTATGAGTATCGGAAATGAAGTCAAGGGCGGAGCCAGGATGAAGTTACGCCCCCGGCTCCTGAACTAAGTATCGTTGGTAATCAAATTTAAAAAAAAAACATATGTACATTATCATGCACATTTCGACCTACATTTCGACGAGACTAGATCCCCATCTTATATGCCCAACGGATTTCTATTGATCTGATTTTCAACGCTCGTCACATTAAATGAATATTATAGAGAAGGTTGCGCTAAATTCGAACCATACGAGTACATCTTAGTTAACTTGTGGCCACTGAAAGGCAAATATTTGTAGGCACTGATGTAGACCTATGTATGTAGTCAATAATATAACCTTAAATAATTAAGCTGTCTAAAGCAAAACGATAGGTATTTTATTTATTTATTTATACTTCCTGCAAATTCATTGCTTAGGGTGGACTTAATACTATAGGCATTTTCTTCCAGTCAACCTCTGAGTGATGCAGGTGTATAATTAGAGCAGAATGATGAGATAAATTACACTATATTTTTAAGTTAGTGTGGTACTAATCCCAGTAACAACTATTTTATAGTAAAAAAGGGGGAGCAAACTAACAGACGGGTCACCGAGTTCTAAAGTAAGAATGTCCTAAAATCAAATTATTTCGATGTTCTGAATGTAATCTACTCCGTGATGTGTTTCGTGGTTTAGGAGAATTTTATTACTTAGAGTTTCTTTGACATTCATATTGTTTGTGGTAACTTGACATAAGGCAAACTACTGATCTTAATCTAATAATAGAACCTAATAGACATAGAAGATACTACGGTTGAAGCATTCAAATCCCTTTGTTACCAAATCAAAATGTGATTTATCTCGTGATGATATCAACATTGTAATGACCATGGGAAAGAAACCTTCAACCAATTGTAGTTTGCATATACATTTAAGCAATCGTCATAGAGTTAAGATCTTATCATTCCAGTACCTCTTTTTAAGAACTGCATGAAGCCACACACACACTATGTACATATAGATACATGTTCCACTTTTAAACAATCGAATAAGATTATCTACTCGATAAAAGAATTCCGAAATATATTATAAGTAGGTACTTATGATTTTCGTAGCTACATAAATTTATAGAATATATTTTTTAAGATTTACTACGGTTTATTTGTTACGTAGCGCGTAGGGAAGGCCGTAAGTTTCGTGTTACATGATTGCGAAATATTGTAACGAAAGCTCAAAATATTTGTCATCATCCAGTCTTTGTTTTATTAATTTAAAGTCTAGATATCAGATTTCACGTAATTTAAAACTAATAACAGACACCATTGAATAACAAAGATTCTTTCCAAATTGCTGTAGTATCATCTACTTCTTAATTTTCTTTTTCATGTATGTCTATTTCTTGTTGTTACAGAAGTGTGGAGCGCGGGCGGTGGGGCCGGCAACGCGGCAGCATGCGGTAGCAGCGGCATGGACCTCAAACACGAGGTGGCGTACCGCGGAGTGCTGCCCGTGAAGGCCGAGCCAGGGGTCTCACACAACGGGCACCAGGCCAACGGTCACGTCAGAGACTGGATGGCGGGGGGTACGACCGCCGGGTCGCCATCGCCCGGGCCTCCGCAGCCACAGCCTAACAACGGGTACTCCTCGCCATTGTCCTCCAGTAGCTACGGCCCTTACAGTCCTAATGGCAAAATAGGTAAGTTCTTTATTACACTTCTACTGTCAGCTGTCGTGTTTTTTTTTAACAATATAAGACCTAAATAAACTACGAAGTGATAAAGTTTTTACTAAAAGATGACAGACAAATCACAACTGTTATATAAATATAAAAATACGACATAGATGATAGTTGTGGGATCGAAAAATAATAAATTAATAACTAATCCATGAACATGATTTGACTCAGAGTCAAAAGTCAACTCATAAAAGGGTATTACCCACCGCGTTCCCCGTCCTGGGACATCTAAAAACATGTACTTTTAAGAACACGGTATTTATTGATGATGGAATAAGGACCATACACAAGACTATAATGCACAATTCATTTCAGTTACAAACAGAACGTTATGTCACTAATCATCACTATTGGCCTTGACTACAACTTTATTGATTCTCACACCAGTATTGTACTTGACTTGATTGACTGTACTCCTGAAGCGTGGAACCCGAGATTGAACACCCACATTAATATTTTACATACACACAGACGCAACGCGCACTATTAGTATACTACCCTGGACACTAATCAATCTACTTTCGTATAAGTAGATATTCATCACCTCTTCGTCTTTGTAGATTGTTTGTGAATTTCACAAAAAACACGCAATGTATCGTAACGCATCGCGAAGCTCGCGGGCGCGTAGCCTAGGGCGTAGTGCGTATTGCGTACGGCCGTACTAGCCGGCGACAAAGGATGTGGTCCAAGTGTACGCTATATGGATATTATGTTAAAACTATTAGTTTTTACAGGGAAATCTAAGAAATTGTCAAGTAAATATTCTGTGTGATATGGGACTTGTGGGTTTCGTAGATGGTATTTTATTTCTTATTTAATTATTTAAAAAAAAGGGTAAATACAGATAAAAATAAACACAGCGATTTAGGCAAAATACCTTTATTTCATTAAATTCTTTATTTTTTTTTTAAATCATCTCTAAGGTCGTAGATCAACACATACAATGACAGCAATCTGTTTTGTCAAATATTTAGCAAAACACCTGTATACCTATAGCAAACTCGTTTAAAAAGGGGTAGAGCCATATGATATAGCTTATCTATTTTTAATAGGCTCTATCAAGTAAATGGGCTCAATAACCTCAATTTTCATGTCTATCCTGTATTGAAACATCTTGTCTCCTGAAACAATAATTACTAAGTTATTTATTTGGAAATATAATAATAATAACTTCGCATATCTCACACACGGCAGTCTGGTCCTAAACTAGGCAGAGTCTGTACTATGGTAACCAATCTGTTGATAAACGTACATATATATTACTAAATACATACATATTATAGATAAATTACACCCAGACACATAACAAATGCTTATGTTCATCACACAATATTTGCCCTGGGTGGGAATCAAACCCGCAACCTCCGGCTTAGCAGTCAGTCAGTTCGTCAAAGGAATATCTTTGTACAATGCGTTTTTCAGTAACCATTCATTTTTAATAAAGTCATTTTGAAGGTGTTTGTGTTACTACGTCGAAGCTTTTGAATCGGTAGACATAATTTTAGGCTTTGCACAGTCGAGCAAAAAGTGAATACATTATGGATACGGATATGGATAAAGTAAAGGAAGATGTAAAACAAAGCACTAAGCTTTATTTTACATCCTCCTTTACTTTTTTTGTGTTTATAATTATTTTCTTTGCGTTATTCCATATCTACCTAAAATAGGTTTCAAAATAAGTTACGATTGCAATGAGTACTAATATTTATGTTTGATATTAATTCGTAAAAAAATACAAAATAAAACTCACATACCAAGTTCCTCCAAACTTTGCTCGAAGACTATAAATTAGCAGTAGCGAGAGTCCGACAGTCGCAACCCACCATTATGATTGTCCGAACTTTTCAGATGTGCGTTCGAATGAACTGCGGCCATCCGTGCTATCACTTTGAATTTTCTTGTGGCACTGAAGTATTTGTGCGCGTACACTCTAATTATTGCACATTACCGAAGACAATTTATGGACATTGTATGGACAACGGGGATAAAAAAAAAACCGAGATTTTTCGCTTAAAAATTAATGATGTTCAAACTTAGATTATGGCTTTTGGTCCAAATTAGTCAAGAAATTAAACGGTGATTGTATTATCCATATTTTTGTTTCTTTTTTTAAATAAACACTATTTTCAAATAGAAAAACGAAAAAGCAGAAATATTCAAAATAGCAGTGATCGATTTCGATGATTTTGATCAATGTTGAGGATTTGTTTTTACGAAAATAAAGAATTATTTTAAAAGTTTCACACGGTAAAAATGTAGAGTCATCTATTAAGCAACTGAGATTTTTTACAGTGTCATTTAAGAAAGTGAGTTCTTTAATTTTTTTTTAAATAGTAAGTTGCTGCTGCTTATTCGCGCATATCTTAGGGATGTGCCTCTTAAATTCCTTTATAACAAAAACATAACGCTTGTCGAAACAACGTCAGCTTCAGCATGCGACCCAGTTTTCGACCGGCGTAATTATGTAACAGTAGGGGGCTGAGCGAAGAACAGTAAACTCACATTGAATGTATGACCCACATGCTGTAACTAACAAAGAACTACAATAGTCCATTTCCCAACAACCTTCAGCCATTAATGATAGCCTCACGGGTTATAGGAAATGCACATTACGCTAGTACGGTTAACACATGACGGTCGAAGTAACGGAACAGACAGAAATCCTTTCATATGACTAGTCGTCATCCAGTGTATGGAGCTCGTCTATAATTTAAATATCACCATAAAATCTGACGGTCGTCAATCATAAAAGAATCGGAAATAAATTCCGCATACTTCAAGATAAAACATTTTGTTATCGTTCTGATGAATACTTCATTTCAATAAATCAAATACCTATTTAATGCTTTTAATAAATTTTCTAGCAATGGTAAACATAAAATATATATTACCTAGTAAATATCTATTAAAATACTGCGATATAACTGCGATTGGCAGGTGTAAGACCTCATTTGAAGGTGACACTAGACAAAGCCGCAACGGGGCTTTTCACCTTTGACAAAGAGCCTCAGGTCGTAAAAACTAAGTCAGGTATCCGGAAATGCGAACGTATAACAAATATGAATACTACGCACTAAAGCTTTATTATCTATACAAATAAATAAAATTGAAGTGTCTGTTTGTAATGTCAAAATAATAGGTTTTTTCATGCTTACACGGTTATTTACACGATACCTATGCCTAAAAATCATTTGAACATTTTCTGTCTATCTGTCTGTCTATCCGTCTGTCTGTTTGTTCGGGTAATCTTTAAAACTTTTTTCTCTCAGAAAAACCCTATAAAATTTTCCCAAATTCTTTCCTAAACTAATAATGTGAGAAAAATGTAAGTGATAAACGTAAAAGTAGTTTAAACAGCAAGAATACCGACACTTATAATAATTTACATATTAAACTAAATCTTTTTGTATATACATAAATTAACATGACTAGATTGGTTTTTGGGAAAAGGTACCTATAAAGACACTACCAGAAAACATGTTTTAGTCACACTATATGATCACATTTCTTTGGCGTATTTTGTAGCAGATATTATGTAATTAAGTTAGAGTAAGAATTGCCGAGCTATTAAAATCCAATTAAATCGGCACATGCCGACTTATAATAAAATAATTACTTCTGTCTTATTATACATGTTAATTAAGCCTAAACCGAATAATATATTAGGTTATTACGTAGATAACAGGTTAGTCCAATTTATACGCAACCACCTGATTCTTCGCCTTTAGCCACCTTCTTATGTCGTAGCGTTGTTTTAACTGATTGAATATTGTTCTTTCTTATAAACCTTATTCTTTACTGCAATGGTCATCTACCTATCTAAAAATAGTCATTACCGCAAACTTATAAATGATATACTCGTATATATTGTCACCAGAAAAAACAACATAATCCCAGATGACATAAATCGAACTAAAAGATACAATCATCCCCAATCTATGAAAACGAAAAATGTCCATAAGATTTACATGGCAAGTAACGAAGGTCTTGACGTCAATGATCAGTTGACATGATACACGTTGCGATTTATAGGGGGGGATATAAGCAGGGGACAACTCCTTCATGCTATCAAATAACGTGTCAAGGCGTATCAATGAAAAATGGGATCCACGTCCGCCAGAATTATCATAATTTCCTTTTGATTGATGTAGAAATGAGATGAGAAATATAGATAGGTGTATTGTCGGACAGTATATTTGTGGTACATTACTACTAATTCCGTTCTGATCCATTTCCTACCCAGTTTTAAAGTAAATTTCTGTTTTACTAAACCATAACTCTATGACTGTTTCAATTGATATTGTCCTCATATCTTTCTTTGCACACTTATGAAGAATCGATCTAAATCTAGCAGAAGGATATTGCTCAATCGTTTTGATAAGGGTACAACCAAAAAATATGCCGCGCACTAGTATCAAGAAAAAAAATGGTAAATCTCTCAAGTTTAGACTTATATAATTATACGAGTAGAACTGGGTAAGTCTACAATTTTTGTTTTTTAACAACACCAAGTTACAGTAGTTACAAAAGAAGTATTATGACTAAAAGTTGTCAGTTTAAATATTTACGATTATGTATATGAACTATTGTAACCTCAGAGGTACGAACGAGCCGTGACCAAGGACACGCCACTGTTTACTTTACAAATTTATGTTATTTACACAGTCCAAAACCAACCTAAATAGAACTATCAAACTTCACCCAATTTCCACTAATGTATTTCATTAGAGATGTTGAGCGGGAATCGCAAAGGATCACGCAATATTGGTGGACGTGTTTATCAGTTCTGAGGATGGATTTTTTCCGCGTTGCACGTTATCGTACAAAGTGATAATGAGGACAATGACCTGGCTATTGCGTGATTTAGATAGCAATGCCGTCATATATATATTTTCGTGCCCCTATCTCTAAGCGTGCGATGTACACAAATAAAATGTTAGGAACACAAGCATACTTTGATGGAAATGTGAAGAAAATGTGGTTAATGTTGTTTAAACTCCTGTTAAACATTGATTAGTCAATGAAAAATGTGTGTATTTTTCATAATTTTAAATCGTAAATCTCCCATTTGACGTTTCGTCATATTAAAGCTTGCTGTGTGCATGCAGATCAGAATACTGCTAACATTCAAATTTATGAAACTGTAACATTGTGCGTGGCCTATTTCTAAAAGGTAACATGTATTCGATGTCAACTGAAGAACTATTCCATTTCTTTATTGTAAATAATTATGTATCGTGTGCCATATTTTTAAGGTTTAGTAAAATGCAGTTAAGGTCTCTAGATTAAAAAAAATAGTTGAGATAGATGTAAAAAATATATCTTGAAAAAAATTGTGGTCTTCAAACTCCATATAAGAATGTAACCTCAGAGGTACTAGCCTAAAATTATGGCTCAAGAAGATCACACGTCCGTGACTTATCTTCCTTTGCCTGTTTTATTATATTCTTTAAATTTGAACTGGTTTGCAAATATAGGCATTACACATTGGTTTCTTTAGTCTTAAACACATCGGTAGTACTAAAAAATCGAATAAGACTGCTTCAGGCGCCAGTAAATCGTTAACGTCGAGTTGGAGATTTTCCATTACCTGTAGACGAAGTCAAATTAGCTGCGAGGTCAGGCCGAGTTCGCGCTCCTCAGCTAACAAACCTTAGAAAATACGTTATTTGAATGTCGGAACACAAGATACATGAGCTAGAGTTAGGGCTGCCAGATATGAATAGTACATTTTTACTAGGATATTGATATTGGCACCTAGAAATAAAAACATATGAAAATGAGTAGGTATGAGTAGGTGTGTATGTATTAATAAGAAAATGAAAGTTGCATGTCGTGGTAGTGACTTTTATCTCTTAATTAAATATTTATTGAAGTAAAAGTATTTTCATTAGCTTTAGTACATCATAAACATTTACTAATATATATTTCATCCCATTGATACATAAGAGCCGACTATGTGACAAGCACTGCAAAGAGAAGAAAAACTTGACAAAAACCCTGTAACAACCCGTCTGGCTAGCGTTGCCAAAATCTCCATTCTAAGGAGAGGCATATGTCCAGCAGTGGACTATGAAAGGCTGTTGATGATTGAGGATGATGAATAGTCAAGCCTTATTACTGGACACGGTGCAAGAAGCAAAATGCCAGGGTCTTCCGGGACATTCCCGGCCAACTGGCACCCCTAGCTCAAGTACGTAATGGCTACAGGCCTACTAGTGTTAGTGAAGAAGTTTATTCATTTACCGGCTTTTATTTGCCGGATATTAGGTTTTATTATTTTTTTTTTTATCAAGACCCAAAATAAGACATACCTTGATATATATACGTACACACATACACAAATACACTTTTACTTTCTTTTTACTTTCTTCTTTTTGATAAAACATACGATACAAATACAAGTACGGTGAACAATTATCCCCGAAAATTGTTTAGTATCATTAATTTTATTATGAAGCCTAAGATAAAGGACGTGTCCTAGTTTAGGCGTCAAGGATACAAAATTTTGTGCAAAATTCTTAGCCTTCATTATGTCGTAAAAACTGTTAATACCTTTATTTGTATTAGGCTTCTTGAAATAAATAAAGTATTATTATTATTAATTTACAATTGAATAAGCACAGCTCTCTTTAAACTTCGTATAGTCTTTACGTGAACAACGAGTCATCTTAATTTGACAATGGCCTAAAAACATCTCAATGTTTTACACATCTTTTAGTCATTCCTGTAAAGAAAATGAAGTGAGTACTTAAATTAGGAATGTCTTTTAAGAGTAAAAATATTTCCTTATTTTGCTAAAAGCCTTACTATTCAATGTATGGTCATTATATTCTCGTTAACATTTGCTTAACGATATTTCCACCACAATATTTTTTGTATCAAAAATAAAAAGTGAGCTATTACTTGCACTCTGAAAGTAAGTGCTTACTTTAAAGGGGACACGAGTAAATACAAAACTGAACCTCGTTTTTTTTTAAGGTTTTCCAGAGTTTGCCAAGATGCCGCATAAACTATCTATTTTTATTGATCCAATATTTATCACACAATTACATTTGAAGTGACTTTAATACGTACTAGAAATTGCGTGGTTGTAGAATTGCCACAAGAAATAGTAGTAGTATTGAGTTTTATTTTTTTTCGTTTATTTTATTGAACTGAATAACCTAAACTATTATTGTACAAAATTATATAACGTGACATACTCGTAATTTTTATTTACTTTTTCTGAACGTTTATAACCGTCCGCACATTTTTTTTTTCACTTCTAACATTTTTATATAATGTTTCTTATATTAGTGCACTAAGTAATTTAAATGTTATATTCACAAAGAGTGCTCTTCGCATATTAAGATGTGTATATAAGATATTTCTAATGCCCGACAACCCTTTAAAGGAATGGATTGGCAAGAGTCTTATTCCGTTTTCATTTTTATTTATTTTTCGAAACTTGTGGAGCAAAATATTTAGAATACATAAGCATATTTCTTATATCAGATAATGAAGCATGGCATTAGGTTCGCCTTGCACAATGTATATGCTAATAATAATGTAATAATAATAATATACTACCATTATAATATGAACATTTTTTTTAATTGCGGAGTTATTTGACATGTTGATTCTAAAAGTCTTGCCGAATACTGATTATGATAAACACGCTGACTGTCAAAAAAGGGTGAAATTAAAACTTCGTCAGCTCAAGTAGAATAATTCATGGTTCAAAAACGCTCGAGTGAGTTGAAGAAACATAAATTTCATTGGAGAATCAGTTAAGAATGAATTAAACAAAATGTCAGTTACGATAATCCTTGATAAGGACTTTTATTTTATTTTTACGTAGGAATGTTTAGCGCTCGGCTGGTCGGTCGCACGGCAGCAAACGATTGAGGACACGAAATAAAATAAAAGTATCCAGCGCCATATCTCACAGTCTGGTTGAGAGCGCAATCGCGGCATTCAAAGAATTCTAATTTGTATTTCGAAATGGACTTACCAAAATGCATCTGTGTGGGAGTAAACACACATTAATAAACGAGCTATAGAATAAAGTTTTTTCGAACAACATTTACAACTT